GAATCTTCCACAAAAATTGACTCTGATGATCCTGATCTGAGCCTCAGAGAGACCAGACCTGCTTTTCTTGTGTGATATTACTAAACCTGAAATTATTGGAGAAGATCACATAGTTTGTTGAGGAGTTTGAAAACCCTCAGCCCTGAAACAGCCAATTGTGTCTACCACACTTTATTTCACTGAAATCCAAGTCTTTGTCTTTTAGGTCTCTGTGGGACCCCCAACATTATTCTGAGTTATTCAAAAATAAAAGGTTACACTAGTTTTCCACAGAGCTTCTGAGACTTTTCGGATCCACCCAAAATTATAATAAGGTCAAGAAAAATTGTTAGGTCAAACAAAGAATCTAGGGAACTCTGTAAGAAGTTTTTTTTCCAAAGAGAATCCATAAGGAAGCATTACTTTATTTCAAAATTTCAAAAGTTATGCTCACATGTACCCTATTTTCCATTATTAGTAAGAGGGCCATTCTCTTGATTGGCCTATAGTATTACAGTATATAATAACAGTGTATTCCTCTTCAGTTTTCTTTTTCATATGCCCAGTTGATCGCTTTCTGACAATATTTGTGATCCCAAAGTATTTTTATGGGTAGAGCTGCGTATGCAGGCTCCCCGGTATTTCTGGTGTGTTTCTTTCTCTCTCACTCGTTTCCTTTCTAAAAGGGGCTTCCATAAACTGTGCATCGTCACGAGTTCGGCATAGGAGGGCATTGCTGTCCTCCTGCGGGAAATATGTGTGTGTGTGTGTATTGTCAGCAAAGCTGACCACCGTAGTTCTTTAACTCTGTGTGTCTCTCTGCTTTCGTCAGCATTCGTGCCCAAGCACTCGCGACTGGTAGTTGTTGTGCGCTGTCAATAAAAGCTTATTGCCTCTCTACGAATCCTGGTTGCTATTTTATTCGAACTAGCTAAAAATACTTTAGCCCGCAAAGTACGCGGAAGACATCTAATTTAAACCAGGAAGAAATTGTTATCTGAAACATCGAGGTTGGTAACGAACTTTGTATTAGACGTAATATTAAGTCTTCGTTTAAAACTCACCGATCTTTCTAGATTCTGGTGAATTTGGATAACAATATCAAGAAGCCATACTTCTTCCTCAAATTATTTCATATCAGGAAAGCATGACCGTCATATATTTATTCATGAACTCTCATGCAATGAAAAGGGACATTGTAGAAGTTGCATTTAGTACACATGATATATATCGTAGTTGTAGGATTAGGAGTGACATGCTTTTTGAAATTTTGAATAACTGCATTGAAGTTTAGGATGATAGCATCACCTTCACCCTTTTCTCCTAGTTTTTCTATGCACAAATTTTTGAAATTACTTGAAAAATTATTTTCGATTGTTCAAAATGTGGAAAATGTATGTTGCTTCAAATCTCTGACATGAGCATGTGCATTTGAATGATTCCAATGAGTAAACAGCTCTAACTGGATGGAATTTTCTGAGATGGACACTTCATTAGTGGCAATTATTTTGTTAATGATCATGTTTATCAGAAGAAGAAAAAAACATAAGCAAAAGGAACTCCAATGAACCCTCCCGGAAGTCTCACGTTATTAGCCAAATTTATTCTCTATATCACAAAAACATTGGCAAAGTACAGAATAACCATTGAAAACTCCACTCAAAACATTCAACAACAAAATTGGCTGCATTCTCACGTCGATGACCACTAATCAAAAAGGAAACAGAAAACGGAAGTAACTTCGGAAATAAATCAGGAATTTACTTTTTGAAGAGGATTTTGAGAGTTTCTCATATTTTTCTTTCTCTCGTACCTCATGCAATAAATAAATAAGCACTTGATTGGAAGGCTGAGAATAAAAACTACTCAGAGAAAAAAAAACGAGGAATTATTTAAAGTCCACAGAGAAAAGCGACTGAAGTGGCAAAACGGGTTCTTGAGTCGCGAAAGACGGGAACGGAACTGATGTACTACTACTCTGTTTCACTTCCGCTTCCGGAGAATCAGTCTTGATTGTCGTCGTCGTCGTCAGTCCTGTCGAATCTCCAGGAACGACGGAAGCGTCGACACTGTTTTTATTCTCTTCAGCGTTGCCATTTTCATCATCATCATCACCATCTTCTTCTTCTTCTCCTTCCTGGTCTTTCGTTTTGTGTCCTCTTTCCGTTGCTGGTTCGGAAGTCAGGGGCATTTGAGCCACCAAGTCGTGGATGTCTTCGAATAATTGTGACGAACCCTCGTCGTCGTTGTCGTCATCGTCGTGGGATATCCTCGATTCACTGTCGTCGAATCGATGATCTTCAGATTTGTCACCATCCTTGTCGTCATTATTGTTGTGTGATGAAGAATCGGCAGTGTTGCCAACGACTGGAGACTCCAAAGCCCCGCTGTCAATGGGTCCACCGATGTCGATGGACTCGATCCTGAGCTCCGTTGGTTTCACGTTCACACTGCGTAATTTTATATAAATAGAGACATTTTTCAACAAGATTTCATTTTTCCAGTGGTATATAGATCATGGAAATTTACTAAAGTGAGCTCGATTTGAATTTTTTTTACAATAAAATGGTACAAAACAAAATGAAGGGGATGCTTATTTATTTTTTACCTGGTAAATTTGAACAAAGACGTTTGAAGAATCAGTTTGGTGGCTGATAAATACTTTATATCTTTTCTAATTTTGAAAATTAAAAATTGGAATAAATGTGCTTCTTAATTTGGTAGTGACATATGTAGCATATGTCGCTTTAAAACAAATTCTACTAGAAAAGCAGGACCTTCTTGAGGGTTTGGAAAGCCATGAAACCATTATCAAAACATCATAAACAAAACTTGATTGATTGAAAAATATATATCAAATGCTTTTTCATTTTAAAAATTAGAAAAAATATGTTCATTCAATCATATATAAGTATAATAAAGTATTGGATGAAAATTTCAAACTACTGTACTTCTATGTGAAAAAAGGATCTTTTTAGGTTGTTTTTAAAAACATGAAGTCATTATCAATATAGGCCATCACTGTTTTGGTTGGAAAAATCATTAGATAGGTTTTTTCATTTCGAAAAAAAACAGGAAGAGTAAAAGTAACAACTGAGATTTTCAAATACATTTTTCTCAAAAAGACAAAACATTTTTGGTGCGCTTGGAAAACCATGAAGCCTAGTTTGAAACATCATAATCAGATTATTCATTGCTAAAAAACCATGAAATTTTTTTTCTCATTTAGAAAATTAGAAAAAACATTTTTTTAAAGATCAAGCAGAAGTAAAATTGCAGCTGGATGAAATTTTCAAATGAATTCTGCTCAAAGAGCAACACTTATTTTAGAGAGATTCAGAAAAACCATGAAGCCATTTTCAAAACATCATCAGTATATCCCATTATTGATTGAATAGGATCATTAAATCATCAACTTCTAAATTAATTTTAGTCAAAGAAACATAACCCTTACATCATTGTATATATTTATTGATTTAAAAAATCATTATATTTGATGATTATCTTTTAATTAAATTCCACTCTTAAAAAATGGATTTTTATTGATTTGGGGGTTGGAAAACCATATATGAACCCATTTTTGCTACATATCGACATCATCACGCAATTGATTGTAAAAAATGTCTCAAAAAGGAAAATATTTTTGAATTTTGAGAGAGAAAATCGCGCTCAAGTCCATTAACCGAGTCACAATCAACTCCTGAGTGCTGACATAAATACTTCACCTGTACTCTGTTCCCACTTCGGGCTTCTCAGTCGTTGTCGAGGATGTCGTCGACGTCGATGACGACGACGACGTTGTCTTCCGTCTATACATGCCCTGAAGA